GCCAGGAACGCTGCTCCGAMCCCMGCCTAACCTGATCCTCTCTGTGAGCTCCGATGTGGGCGGTGTACACCCGGCTCACTGTGCWGTCCGCCCCCCGTCCGCAATACTCTCCCTCTGGCCCATTACTTCTTCTATATCYGTGGCCTTTACTGCACGTACCCGTAAGGTACGCTGCCCTCCTGAGCCTCTAGTACCCARCTCGAAATAGGACAGCGGCCCATTGGTATCAGCGGTACCAAGCCCACAGATCCGCGGTACTTCCCTTCAACARCGATTTTYCYGTTGGTGCCACGGTTTAGGCCCGACARTCAATTATTGCACCGCGAAATAACAGCCCCAGACTGCAATGACCCCCATCAGCTACCATTGTTAACTCAGTGACCGTGGCCGGAAATAAGTGTACCAAAAATAGTGAAAACTCAGATCTTGCCAACCTTGTAGGATCAAATTWTATTGTGGCCCGTCCCTCACCGTACCTGTTCCAAATYGGGCACGTGCCTGTTCCGATCCAGCGGCCGTACCAAAACAATGAAGGATACCGTACCATGTCGCCAATATCGTGTCAACCCCGTACAAGCCCCGAACCAAATGTGGCCGCACCGTACCTTCCCCGAACCAGCATCATACCGAACCCATTCCGAACCTGAATAGCAGCCTGTCCAGTCATCATGCCAGCTTGATGCCGAATACCGTACCACGCAGACGTGCCGTGATAGTACAGAGCCTGCCCCGAGATGTACCTGCGTCGTGACCGTACCCAAACCGAGCCTCAGGGGCCGGCAGATGTGCCAACCCACTAGTTGCACCTGAAATAGTTGCCACGAACAGTAAAGGCCTGTGCCGTCACTGTACCAATGCCGAAACTGGAATAACCAATCTGAACCGCAGCAGCCTGAACCTTTACCATGCCTGGCCCGTGACGAATACCGTACAATGCCGCTATGCCGCGATAGATACCGTACCTGAAGCACGTCAGACACCGTAGGACATAGCCACTCCGTAACGATCCTCGTATCCGTACCAAACGAAACACCATAGTCGACCCAAGGCAGCACCACCCCATGCTGTCTATGCGACTCCTGCTCTCAGAACATCTCAATTGTGGTAATGTTTGTAATCAAGCACACCAGGGAAAGTGTCGCAGGGAACCTCGACCATCGGCAGTAGTGTTAACTTGTTAAAATCCGGGGAAAATGATCAATCCGGAGTCAGAGTTGATGGCGGGTAATCGAGGCGAAATTAGACCAATCTCCCAATAGTCATGGGTTCCCGTCCCTTTCATC